AGCCAGCCAGCCTACCAAAAAAATGCTGATTTTCTATTTTTTCTTATATTTTCTATAGGGTTTCAGACGTGACGTTTGGCACTTTTCCGTTTATAAGCGTTGCAGGCGATCATTGGGAAAAAGCACGCAAAAGGTAGACAAAGTGATATTGTAAGCAAAACTAGACCGGCAATATACCAGTAGCCAGCAGCCAGCAGGCAGTAGCACGCAGCCAGTTAGCCAGCTGACTGTACATAGCCATTAGCCAGCAGGCCAGCGCCAGTAGCAGCCAGCAGCCAGTAGCCAGCAGCCTTACCAAAAAAAAATGTTGATTTCTATTTTTTGAATATTTTCTATAAGGTTTCAGACGTGACGTTTGGCACTTTTCCCGTTTATAAGCGTTTCAAAACATGGAAAAAAAGCACGCAAAAGGTAGACAAAGGTGATATGTAAGCAACTAGACCGGCCATTTATAAGCCAGTAGCCAGCACCAGCGGCAGTAGCAGCCAGCAGCCAGTTAGCCAGTGGACTGTACTAGCCAGCTAAGCCAGCAGACCAGCGCCAGTAGCAGGCCAGCAGCCCAGTAGCCAGCAGCCTACCAAGAAAATTGCATGATTTTTCTATATCTTGGAATACTTGAATATTTTCTAAAGGGTTCAACGTACGTTTGACTTTTTCCCGTTTATAAGGGTTTCAAGAACATGGGAAAAGCACGCAAAGGTAGACAAAGGTGAGCAGCCAGCGCCAGTAGCAGCCAGCAGCAGTAACCGGCACATAGCCAGTAGCCGCAGCCAGCGGCAGTAGCAGCCAGCAGCCAGTAGCCAGCGAACTGTAACATAGCCAGTAGACAGCAGCCAGCGCCAGTAGCAGCCAGCAGCCAGTAGCCAGCAGCCTACCCCAAAAAAAGTTGATTTACTACATTTTTAATAATTTTCTATAGGGTTTCAGACGTGACGTTTGGCACTTTTCCCGTTTATAAGCGTTTCAAGAACATGGGAAAAAGCACGCAAAAGGTAGACAAAGGTGAGGTAGTCAGCAGCCTACCCAAAAAAATGCTGATTTTCTATATTTTCAATACAATATTTTCTATTGGGTTTCAGACGTGACGTTTGGCACTTTTCTCGTTTATAAGCGTTTCAAGAACATGGGAAAAAGCACGCAAAAGGTAGACAAAGGTGATATTGTAAGCAACTAGACCGGCATATAGCCAGTAGCCAGCAGCCAGCGGCAGTAGCAGCCAGCAGCCAGTAGCCAGCTGACTGTACATAGCCAGTAGACAGCAGCCAGCGCCAGTAGCAGCCAGCAACCAGTAGCCAGCAGCCTACCAAAAAAAATGCTGATTTTCTATATTTTCAATATATTGAAAATTTTCTATAGGGTTTCAGACGTGACGTTTGGCACTTTTCCCGTTTATAAGCGTTTCAAGAACATGGGAAAAAGCACGCAAAAGGTAGACAAAGGTGAGCAGCCAGCGCCAGTAGCAGCCAGCAGCCAGTAGCCAGCAGTCTACAAAAAAAAATGTTGATTTTCTAAATAGGGTTTCAGACGTGACGTTTGGCACCTTTCTCATTTATTATAAGCGTTTCAAGAACATGGGAAAAAGCACGCAAAAGGTCCACAAAGGTGATATTGTAAGCAACTAGACCGGCATATAGCCAGTAGCCAGCAGCCAGCGGCAGTAGCAGCCAGCAGCCAGTAGCAGCTGACTGTACATAGCCAGTAGACAGCAGCCAGCGCCAGTAGCAGCCAGCAACCAGTAGCCAGCAGCCTACCAAGAAAAATGCTGATTTTCCATATTTCGAATATTTTCTATAGGGTTTCAGACGTGACGTTTGACACTTTTCCCGTTTATAAGCGTTTCAAGAACATGGGAAAAAGCACGCAAAAGGTAGACAAAGGTGAGCAGCTAGCGCCAGTAGCAGCCAGCAGCCAGTAGCCAGCAGCCTACAAAAAAAATGCTGATATTCTACTAATTTTCTATATTTACTATAGGGTTTCAACCGTGACGTTTGGCACTTTTCCCGTTTATAAGCGTTTCAAGAACATGGGAAAAAGCACGCAAAAGGTAGACAAAGGTGATATTGTAAGCAACTAGACCGGCACCAAAAGTGTAAAAAAAAACTGGATTCAGAGCACTTTTGGAAGTTGAGATGTTGAAAAAGTGCACGCCGTTGTGGCGCGAAGCACATTTCGAAGTCAAAATGTACAAAACACACTACGTTCAGACTACTTTTGGAAGTTGAGATGTTGAAAAAGCGCACGCCGTTGTGGCACGAAGCACCTTTCGAAGTCAAAATGTACAAAACACACCACGTTCAGACCACTTTTGGAAGCTGAGATGTCGAAAAGTGCGCGAAGCACATTTCAAAGTCAAAATGTTCAAAACACCACATGCTCGGACCGCCTTTGAAGGTTCAGATGTGGTTTTGCCTGGTAGGCGCAAGGGATTCTGCACCTTGCCAAAAGTGAGCAAAACGTGAGGGTTTTGTGGCATTTCTGGCAGGCGTGGGAGATTTGCAGAGGATCTGCAAAGATGCATGTCGCGTGGCAGGCGCAGTACAAGAGACATGTTCATCAGATTTCTTGAGAGGAGCTGCCTTTTGGAGCATCAGATCTGTAGGTTTGCTAAGATGTTTTTGCGTGGCAGGTGCAGCACTTCGTATGACCTGGCATCAATTTTTCGTGGCAGGAAAATACTTTAGAGACATAGACCAGAAAAATCGCATAGACAGAAATAGGATGATGGATGGACGGCTGCATGGACAGATAGAGAGCTAAGCAGATGGATGGAAAGAGAGAGAGATGGATAGGTTGACAGGCAGATAGATCAGTAGAGAGAAAAGAAGGATAGATAGATGGATGGATGGATAGATAGATTGACAGATGGATAATTCGACATTCCAACCACCTTTTGGTCCATCAGTGGATTCGCTCTGCCATCCGTGATTCACAACAACCAGTCTCCCCTATAGGTTTCCTATTTTTGAAACTTCCGCCACCGCCTTGCGCGGTACTATTGGTATTTAATACCCGTCCACATTGCAGAGATGACGTTGTGGGATTATGCGGTCATCTACGATCTGTATTTGTCATATGAACACTGCGCAACCCATGTAGCCTATTGTAGCCTGTCCTGGCACAGTCTGGAGGTCGAAGAAAGTGACTCCTGGCGGCTCCGCTGTAAATTGCTGTAGCACAACATCAAAGTCCAGCTGCCACTCCAGCCATTTCACATCCCAAAGAACGCTCTATAAGGGCAACAGGGCAGTTGGAGATGACAAATATGACAAGTCTTGATGAACTGATGAACAGTTCTCCGAAGATCTCCAGAGGTTCTCCACGGTTCTCGGGTTCTCCTCGACTGGGGCTTTCAGAAACTCCTGAGGAACTTCGCTGAGCGGCCGGCTCGACCCGCCTGCCTGGTGAGGACCAAACAATCCAGAGCTCTCAAGTCGGGACATGTGACTTATTATTAATGATATTTAAGGCAGGTAGAAAAGCGCAGGGTCTTCGATGGTGCTGTTTCATCGCAGTCGACAAGATGTTCAACAATGTTCAACATCTGTCTACACTACTCTTCTACATACTCTCATTCAAGTATTCAAAACATGGTGTTCTGTGTGTGTGTCCTGGGAGAAATTGTAAGTCCAGTGTCAACTTCACCTTATCATCTGCAGAATGAAAACTTGTCCCACGACGTGTGGATTCACGTGTTTCACTCCTTTTCCCATAGTTTGATCCCGGAATACCTGTTTCCACCCAACCGGGAAACACAAGCCACTGCCTCAAGGCATCATTCTCAACACTTTCAAGCCAACTAATCGCTGACAGAAGAAACATGGGAAACCCGACGCTTACTCAGTGTAATTCCAGAATGACTTGTTGCTCTGGTCCGTTACTCACCAAGCAGGATAGTCATGGAATTGCCAACATTGCACTGAAGTTCCTCCCAGCCTGTGTGCTCTGACGGCAGCGGACTCGAAGTTGTTTCCCGTCCATGTCCTGCAAAGGAATGCCCATTTTTCTTCACACGGGTCAATCTGGCTGCAGCAAAAAGTGGAAGAACGCATCGACTGAATCTCTCTGCCCTGCACCACAACAGACGTGCTAACATGTTGAAACAATTTGAAACATGTTGCTGTCAAGAAAAGTTCGATGAAACTGGTCCAGAGTTCACTTTTCTAGGACACCCATCCGACCCGTCAGGTCCACATCCCGCTTCCCTTGTCACGCCCAAACACTTCCCAACTGCTTCTGCTTCCCATGGATCCTTGGCGTGACGTCATCGGAAGGACTGGAGGACCGGAAGAACCTGGAGAAAAGCTGCGTCATCCATCGTCTCGTCCAGGAGGAAGTTGGGAGCAGGCGGTGGAGCGGAACCTGGCAGGTTTTCTCGTCCATGGCGGTGCATCGTGCTTTTTGACAGGTAGAACTCGGTAGAACTGTAGAATAACTCAAAATATTCTCTAAAATATGAAGAACCAGATGAAGAACAGAATGAAACTGGGAGATGTAAATACCAGTCCTAGCCTCTACATGGTTTTTGGACCCAAGGTGGCCGTGTGGGTGTGCACTGGCACTTTTGTGTCCGGTTGTTGTGTTTGCCTTGTTTTTTGCGCCGTTTTTTGAAAATTAAAAAGTCCCACACTTACATGCTACCACCACTGCTACATGCAGAGTCTTGACAATCCAGGTCTTCAATCTCCTTGTCCACTTTCCTAGTGTAAAACCGACACTGATCTTTGCTGGTCTACAAGGCCAAGAAGGCAAGCTGTGACTCTCAAAATAACGCCATTATATGCCATTGTCACACCCTGTCACCACTTGTTTCTCCTTCACCTTTAGATGCCTTCGGATGCCTTCGGTGGGATCCTGTGCTTTTCTGGCCTCTGGACGAAGGTCTTGGCTGGCTCAAAGCAGACAAGCGCCCTGGCAGAGATAAACTGAGCTATGATCAGCTCAAACTTCATCCAGAACTGATCCATCCTGGTTACTGCAGAATCGCCAGAGCAGCAAGTCCCTTTTTTTATCGCATGTTTCATGTTCAACCCAATGTTCCAACTTTGGAGGAGGAATGCTCAAGAGACCGTGTCAATCCGTAGACTGATAAAAATGGGAAAAATGCAACAACACACCTAGACCTAGACAAGGAAATGGGCGTGTCCTGCGACCAGGGCAGGCAGCACTCCCTTAAAAGTTCATTCCTTCCAGTGCTAGATGCATCGACTGAAAGCATGGACCGCAACCTGTACAAAGGTCCACAGGGTTGTGCACAAGTACCTGGCCACCTACTGTTATGAGTCCAACAACACAGAGAATATAGGGTTTGACAAAAAAATAAAAACACACAAAAAAAAAAACAAAACCAGAGCAAACAAAAAAAACAAACTAGAAAACCAAAACCAAGGAAAAAACAAGAAAAAAAGAAAAAAACAAAACAAAAAAAAAACAAAAAAAACGTGTTTTTTTTTCTAAAATCCACTTTCTCTGTTCTACACGGGGTCATAAACCTACTGGGCCTCAAGATAAACACACCTTTTGATGGCTAAATATGCAGTGGTAAGGTTGCTGGAGGCAGCTCTGATTTGTAGAAGTGTTTTTCGCACGTCTTGTGGCAATGCTTTTGGAGTCAAAGCAGCAAGCAGAACAGGCAGCTGCAGATAGCTGCAGGCAGCGCTGGTTTTGTGAGCGAAGTTGGTTCCGGAAGTTCCTGTCGTGGTACTGGCGCTGTGTATTTTTCCTCGCTCAAGCGTCACCTCGAATCGTCGAAGGTCGACTTGTACACAAAGTATTGCGTCTTGTGGGGCTGTAAGAACGCTGCATTTCTCCCAGGCCACACACGGCATCGCTGCATTTAAACAATGGTAGGAAATTGTTTAGATATGTTTTTATTTTTTTTTGTTTAGCTTAGGGATTTTTATTCCTGGCCGTGCCAATTTTCCATGCTCTTTGCAACATTTTGGAGCTGGAACCTTTCATTTTGCATGCTATTCGGCTCTGCACAGCATTTTAAAGCTAGAGCCTTCCATGCTGCAGACTATTTGCAGCATTTTATAGTTGGAACTTTCCTTTTCGTATGCTATTTGCAACAACATTTGGAAGCTGGAACCTTCCATTTTGCGTGCCAGTTGCAACCTTTTGGGAGCTGGAACCTTTGATTTTGCATGATATTTGCATATATTTGCAACATATTGGAGCTGGAATCTTTCATTTGGCATGCTACCAGTATTTGCAAATTGTTGTTAGTTGTTGGTTGTTGGTTGTTGGTTGTTGTCTGTTAGTTGTGGGTTCTTGTTTGTTTTGTTATTCTTGTTGCAGTTGTAGCTGTTGTATAGTTGCTGTAGTTTTTGTATTGTAGCTACAGCCGTAGTTGTATTAGTACAAGTAGTTTCTTGTTGTTGTTGGTTTTGTTGTTGCTGTTGCTCTTGTGGTTGTTGTTGGGGGGGTGGTGTAGCTGGAGGAACACGCCAAAAACTGTTGTTGTTGTGGTCTTGGTTTGGGTGTAGGCCGTGTTTGTGATTTCCTTGCGCTTGTGGCTTTGGTTCTGGTGAACAGGTTTACAAACAAAGCCATGAAGTCAAGAAGACGGTAAAGCTTTTTGCAAAGCCAAGAAGAAAGAAAACTAGCGAAACCATCAAGGCCAAAAAGGCAGTTTGCGTGGTATTTGCAATATTTTCAGCATTCTACAACTTCAACCTGCATTGTGGAGATAGAACCTCTCACGTTGCATGGCATCTGCGGCGTTTGGAAGAAAGAACCTTTCATGTTGCATGGTAGTTGCAGGATTTAGCAAATGATATGTGCAGCATGGCTACTTTCCAGTTTGGTTAATAATTGAAGCATTGTGAAACTTTAACTTCTTAACCAGCTCATTTACATCATGGTCTTTACACCAACGCAAAGAAACCAAAAAGGGCAAAAACGAAAGCATGCAACAACAAAATAGAAACAGCTGGAGGGGGTCATGGTTGCAGTTGTAGTTGTTCCGGTTTCTCTTGCTGTTCATGTTGCTCTTGTTACATTGTTGCCGTTGTTGCGTTTGTTGTTCTCGTTGTTCCTTTTGTATTTGCTGCTCTTGTTGTTTGTGCTGCTGGTGCGGTTCTTTATGTAGTTGTAGCTGCACTTGTAGTCAAGCAGAACGACAAGGAAGCAAGTAGATAAAAAGCAACGAAGGCAGAAAAAATACAAAGCAGAGAACAGAAAACAAAACAGAAACAAACAAGCAGAAAAATAGAGAAGCAAAGAAGCAGAGAGGCAAACAAAAAAAGTACGAGTAGAAGCAAAAAAAATAAATACAAAAATCCAGAGAAGCAAAAAAGCAGAAAAGCAAGAAAACAGATTCAGAAAAGCAAAAAAACAGAAAAGCAGAGACGCACAAACAACAAAACAACAGAGAAGCGGCGTAGAAGCAAACAAAAACAGAGAAGCAAAAATAACAAAGCAGAAGAGCAGAGAAGGAAATGGAAAAAACTGAGCAAAAAAGCAGCACAGTAGAGAGGAGAGAGGCATCCAAAAAAAAAACCTAAACTAAAAAACAATGCCCTAAATAAATGGCCCTCCTGGAAAAAAAGCAGCCCGGCAGACCATCCGTTAGGCCCGATGCAGGGGTGTCCGTTTTCTGGTCAAGGCACTTCCGATTGGAATTCAAATGATAGGCTTGGAGACTCCCCCACAGCACAGTGCGTTTAAGGATCTGCAGCCCTGTAAACCACAGAGCTCCGTAAACCATCCGCGTTTTGTGATCGAACCCCATAACCACACCGGCTTAAGGATGATGTCCCGGTAACAACATTGCGCTTCAGGGTCTTGAGAAAGGATGCATGTTTCCTGCAAGAGGATTCTTCGATGGTTGCACGTTTGAATTTTAAAGGGACAGCAACGCGTCAAACCACAGACGAATGGTTTAGGCCTTCAACACATAACACCATGACGCACATTTGTGCTAAGAAAATGTAAGAAGAAATGCCTAGCATCTTGCATTTTTTGGGGTGGCATAGTTCCGCGATCTTCTGAGGCTTCAAGAGTCTTGGCTTAGTCGGAGGGGTGTGCGACAGAGGATGTGAGTGTCCCTACTATAATATTTCTAAGTTTTCAGCACATACTGAAATCCAACTGGTGCCCCCCATGCTGGAAAATGCAGGTGGTAAGAGCCTTGTGATGTGTAGAATCAGGAACATCAGGAACCGTTCTTCTACCTTCCCCCCATCCCTTGCGCACAGCCCAGGTCTACCTTGAACAAAACTGTACACCCTAAACAACGCTTCCAGACGTCTCCATGCTTCGAATCAAGCAAATGTGAGCAGCAAGTACAGCTGGATCGGGATGGCACAATGCCACAACACCAATGAGCGTGTTCCAATCCTCAACTTCGGGGACTGAACAATTTCTCAAGAAAGGACAGGAACAATCCGTAGCAACTACAAACATCTCATAGCATGTCCGTCTTCATTCCGGCTTCTTGGGCGCAAATTAGATTTTCAGCTTGACTTGCAACATCTTACAACACTGTCACTGTCCTTTTCGCCGACTTGCAACTGAGAATCGGTTGTTTTACACATCATTTTATCCAGCTCCACATTCAGGGCAACATCTGTAAACGATGATAAGCCACGGACAGCCTCAAGCCCTGGCATCGCCGTATCAGTGATGAGACGCTCTTCGTAGGAGATCAAGTGAATGATGTCGCCAAACATCAAAAATGTCGGCGTGTTGGGCAGTGCATCGAAAGCCTCCTGTCAAGGTCCAATCTCGTCAGTTGGGAAAAAACATTCGTCCAAACCGAGTCTCTCTGGCCCTTCTACAAATTCTACAAATATCAATATTTGATTCCAAATTGAAGTAGTCTGAAATTAGTGGAATCCCCCATTCTCTTTGTTCTCTTTCCTATTCTTTCCCTATTTTCCCTGAGGCTGCATCGAATCATCAGCTCTCCTGTCTCAGGTAGGCACCAATGACGGCATCAACTTGGCTGTAGCCAGTCATCTTTCGGCACAGGGGCACCCAAAAGCCCGTGCCACCCTGACATCGACAGTTCACCTGCACCAGAAACAGACAAACATCCCAAACTTCCAAATGTGCAATTTTAACATGTGTTCGCATCAGCATCAAGAAACATTGCAAAATGATGCAAAATGTATCAAGATATATCAAAAATTATCAACACGTCTAATTAATTCCAGTGATGTCTCAAGGTTCGGCCTGCAAAATGTTCAAAATGCTTCATATCATCTCATATCTTTCCCATCTTTCCCCTGGGATCCCCCGGTGTGCACCTCCACCAGGCAAGGTCCGCCCGAGGTCCACATCACTTCAGTATGGGTTGCACCGTTCCGGACACCCAAGGCGTTTAAACACTGCCGCGTATAGGCAACAAGCTCCGCCATCGCAGACGAATCACAAGGGACTGGCCTCTGTGCAATGCAAACACGATGCCCGTTGACTTCCTGGAAGTCGTACATCCACAGCATGGTCGTCTTGTGCACCCCATCACAGGAAACGTGATCAACTATGTACTCTGTTCCCTCGAGAAATTCTTGTAACAGAACACCGCGGCCTTGTGCACCACACCAGCGACCGGAACTGTTTAAGAAGTCAAAGTGCTCACGTGCCTCGGCACACAAGAATCCCAGTATCCATTGCAACTTTTGCAGACTATTTCGCACTTCCACCAACATCCGTATCATTAATCTTATTAGAAGTTTCAAGCCGAAACGCGCTATCATTACTTAATCACTGTTGTGGTTTCTGCCCCGCCTCGTCCATGGAGTCACACAACTTAAAGCCATCTGCACCAGCTGATTCGATGGGTTTCACAACCAAAGGGTATTGCTCCGTCTCCGCAAATGCAGCGACCTGAACCATCTGAAGACCACTTGCACTGACAGAAGTCTTTCCCAAACAAAAACATTGCAGCAAACACCCTACTGTTTCTTGATTTAGAACAACTTAAATTCATACTGAAAAAAACATCATGCAAAGGATTGCAAAGGACTTAACACGACGTTCTCACCAGCCTGTTCCCATGTGGTTCCGCTCACTGTGCGTGCAAATCTCAGACCGGCTGCTTCCAACGCCTGGTGTTGCACCAATTTGTCTCGACGATTGCCATGGCCGCCGCCATTGCCGCGCAAATCCAGTGCTTCGCTCAGGGCATCTGCGGCGTTGACGCCGCTGTCGCCTCCGCAAATCACAGCTGCCAAGCTACCGCTATCAACGCTATCAACCACCTCACAGGGCCACGCAGGGGTCCAGCGTGTCCCAACGGGGTCCAACGGGGTCCAACGGGGCAACGTGTTCCAACGCGTTCCAACGTGGACACAGATTTTCCGATAGCCTTGAAGACTTAAATTGCTGTTGTCTTGGCTACCTACCTTTGTTGCATTGGTTGCATGTTGTTGCATTCTTTTCAGCAAATGTGCCTTTCAAGTTGCACAAGAGAGTCACATCATAAACTGTAAAGCCGCTCTCGCCTTCATCTTTTTGATTAGGGCTGCGTTCTCCAGTTCGCCAAATAGAAAGTTTTGCCAGTGGCCAAACAGAAAACGGCTTTAGCCTTCAAATTCTATTCCGATGGAACATGATCGAACCCTGGCACTGAGACCCATCTATACCCACCTCCATTGAGAATCGAGAAATCAAAGTCACAAGTCCAAAGGTGTCTGGTGTCCCTAGCGAATTAGAACAAGTTTTGTATCCGGATTTGATAAAACCAAAATCCTGGAGATTGGGAAGCCGAAGCAAGAATTGTTTTCCAACGCGCTTTCCACTGGAGCGGACTCGCACCCCGGATCGAGAACGTCGAAAAATGTCGATCACCAAGAAATCGCGACGGCGACAGCGTGATCCCACACCCGGCACACCCGGCCCAAAGCGAAAGCCACGCCTCGCGAAGTCGAGCTGCTGTGGCTTCCACGGTTGGCTCTTCGTCCAGCTCGGCCAAGAGTTGTCTGGGATCGAAAATCTTCGGATAATCCTAGGGAAAACAAGGAAAAACAAGGAAAAATAGCTCCGAACCCAGCATGTATACATCGTGTTAGTGTAAAATACTGTGAGAAATGGATAATTCATGTCAATTCCAAGTCCCAGACATGCTTTACGGCTTTACCATTCTTGGAAGATGTTTCGCAATCTTTCGCAAGTCAACTAGGAGCATCCACAAAGTGCTTAGTGATGCTCAGTGCGATCCGAGCATCGTGATACCGGATATTGGATTCCTTGGTCCACAGCGCGATAACGGCACAGCCTTGGCTCAATAGCTCTGCTGCCAAAAATCCTCCAGTGGAGAATGGATCCACCACAACCACCACCTCTGCAGCTCCACTTTCGAATCTTTCGAATTTTGGAGCATTATGAGCCTTTGCATTGGGCGAAACTTCGACAGGTTCGGATGGAAGTCTCTGGGGTTTTAGGAGGAGGAGAGGCGAGAACACGACTAGAGCCACTGCACAGAGCCCTGCAGCTATGCAGAAAGTGTATTGGTAGCCGTGCTTGTCCAACAGCTCTCCAGCAATCACGGCGGCCCCACTCCAGGACATGTTCAATACCTCGGCACGCCGCAACTTAACATTCCAAGTGGTTTGCGCCATGATTTTCTGCTTGGCGTGCTCGCCTTGGTGAGTTCTCTATCTCAAAATGTCCTTAAATTGTAATCTTCTGCCTACCATACAGCACCATCTTACATAGAACGACTGTCATCCTTCTTTATCCCTTCGAAGTGTGAACTGCGTTATTTTTTGGGATATGACATGATATGACGTCTATCAATGAAGCGATCTTCCCATTTTTTGTACAGATTTCTTTGGGATGTTTTGAGTCACCGAGATTTGCTGAGGCCTGGGGATCACTGTCCTTTGCAAGCAACAAATCACTCCACTGACTCCACTGCCTCCCTCTGCGGAAGAAAGATACAGTACATATCATTACAATTATACAGACATATAATATATACAGACATGATATTTGATTTTTGAGATTTCCGAAAGTGTTTTGCGACGATTTTGACGGCTTGTCATGGTTCAACATGGTCTCCACACTTTCAGATCTTTCAGACCCAAGATACGGTACAGCTGCTGCTCCATCTGCCCCTCTGGGATGCAGGTACGCAATCCATCAAGATTGCCCAAGCAAGAGCAAAAGATGCTTGGGCAAGGCTTCCTCGGAACATGAAGAGAGCCAATGATGATAACAGATGCGTTCCTTCCTCTCTTTGTATCGATAGGCCAAGGAGGCATCCAATGACCCCGACCATACAGACACTGGTGGCTTTGGCTCGACCAACCACCGGAGCACAAACACCCACCAGGTAGGTGAAGCAAGCCTTCACCAAGGGCTCAATGGCTTGAACCACGCTGATCTGGACAACAGACATGCCATAGATGTTGATGAAGAAGAGGGGGAAAAATTTGAAGACCATCCCTGCGGCCAGTGCAAGAATCAACAGTGCCAACAGCACCACATAGGGTACCCAAGCTCTCCCTGTCTTGATCTCTGTTTGGATCTCTGGTTGTTCGGCTGGCAGGTCCTTTGACTCTTTCTGAGCTTGGGGGAAAGCAAACAGAGACAGCATCACAGGGACGAGCAAAGCAAAACCGGCCAAAAGAGCTGACTTGGTCTGGAAGCCCGTCCAGTCTTCAGGAGCCTGGTGCTTTCGAGGACATTCGAGGACTGGTGTTGGTTGGGGATGTGCTGGTCGGATTTTCATACTTGGGGGATCCCAACACTCAAGCCAATACTCAAGCCAGTCTTCATGCCATGTTCGCCATGTTCTGCTCTTCAAAAACCATACTTCTCTTATCTTCTTTTCTTATCTGTTTAATCTGTTTCGGCCTGAAAGGAGAGCAAAGTCAAGGCATAGGTGGCAGAGCCCGCAGCCGTCCCCAAGTTTTGAAAGACCTGGACGTTGGCGAAGGCAGCTGTCCGTTGATCCAGGCTCCGCGACGCCAGGCTGTCCGTGAAGATCGCCATGGCAAGACAGCTAGCGAACTCAGCAAAGATCACGAATGCCACCTGGCCGAAAATCCACAAAATACATCAAAATTTGAATCAAAATGCATCAACATGCATCAAAATATGTGGAATCAACAGCTGTCTTTGTGCTCCAATCTTGGAATTGAGATGTCCATCTCAAATACCTCAATGTTTGTCAAATATGATCAAATATGTCTGTTTTAAAGTCAAAACAGCAAAGGTCGCGGAGATTGGTGATTTGTATTGATTTGTGCCATCAGGGGACTTGCATGATGGTCAGCATCCACAGCCGCCCACTGAGAATCGCCAGCACACCAATCACAACTGTGGGACAACCGAGACCCAAGGCCACCCAAGCAAGCCGGGTTCGACTGGCAGGTCTCCAATCCACTACGCAACCAATAGGAAATGCAACCTGGACTTGCTCTGATTCAAAAGATATCGGAGGATCTGCTGTGAATAAGGCTTTTGCGGATGGCACAACATGGCAGTTTCCCAATTTTCAGTAAAGGCTCTCATTTGACCTTTCACTCACAACAAGAATATGACTAATCTCATCTTGAAATATCTTTGTACCGTTACCTTTATATACCTTTATAATCTTTATAACAATATCTCTACATCCGATCTTTGACACCGGCCTCACTCCAACATCTCCAATCCAAGCAGTCCAAGCAACCAGTAATTTGGTGACGCCAGCAATGCTCTCCAGGGTGCCCACAACCAAGTTCCCATGGTGTGGAGAGATGCCTTCAGCCACTTTGAAAATGTACTCGTCCAGATATTGGCTCTGTGCCAGGCACTGCACCATTTGAAGAATGAAGGAGAAACCATACCTGCTTCACGGGCTTCCCCCAACAAAAAGGCTGACAGCTGACATGCTCTGGGTAGACTCACAAGATCTGACAAGCGCAATTGACAAATCCATTTTCACAACAACACAACAACCAGAAGCGAGATCAGCTTCTTCAAACAGCCGAGGTGCATCGCCCTCACATTTACCGAAGAGTTAATGGAAAGCTGAGCACCCATATTGGTTCACACAAAGCTGACCACAAACTGCTCACTGTGAAAGCCAAAACTGCGCTGCGCGAAGAAAGGGTGACTGCAGCGGCTTTGGGAGCCGGAGCCCAACGATGTATGACCAACAAAAAACACATCTCTCTTTCAGCGGAGCAATTGCAAATCCATTAAGCCGTCATTGAGCCATCATTAAGCCATTAGCAAAACCCGAAGTGTTGGCAAATGGTCATGATCTTTCGATTCCATGTTCTTCTCTTCGAAAACTGACCCTGTGCAACAAGTTGTCTCAAGTTCTGTCCTGCACGTGCGCTTAATGGACTGCCTGGGCTCGATCCTGGAGTTGAACGGCGTGCAGCGGCATCCCAAAACTGTTCTTGTCAATCAGACATACATAGATAATCATATAAATATATACTAAAACACGGGAATCGTTCTTCGTCCCTATCGTCTTTAACAAGGGCATTCTACTGCTACCCAACCAGTTGAAGGTAAGCAACTAGTTCTGCCAGCTGTTCATGTTGCAGCAACCATGCAAATCTTGAATACGAAAATTCTGCAGTGTCCATCTCTGATGCCCCACAGCCCATGCTGCCCCTGAATCCTCCCAAAAGAATTTGATCGATGTTCAAATGGAAATGCTCAGTTCGGGCGAAAAAATCTATTGTGACCCTCGCGCGCCTCATGAAATTCATGAATATCGGCATATATTGGTTTGCGAGGTAATAGATGATAAATTTGATGATAGAATTGATGAATATTGATGATAGATCTCCTGAAAGACTTTCCATTTTCCATTTCCCCAGATGTCAATTTCCTGTTCCCCTTCAGCTCCTGCACGCGGGCTTGGTGCGCCACTGGGACTCTGCCGAAGAAGTTCTTCCTAACATCGGATGTTGGATGCAAACAAACGCTTGATAATTTAAGGTTCGAGAATTATTGTTTTTTTCTGAATTTTGGGATGTTTTTTTGGATTTGCGTGGCGGTGCGTGCTGTTTGCTTGTTCCATGGCGCCAACCGGTGTATTCCTTGGTT